ATATTAAAGTGCTTAAAACAAATACAAATAAAACATCCTAAATTTTTTTTGAGCAAAGAACCAAGTAGGAAATACATTTTCAATTTTGGACTAGGGGCGACCCTAGTCAAAATCAATTTTGTCACTTTTTTTCTTCGAGGGTTTATACAAATGGATTGAAACTTTGCATAAATATTTGAGTGCTTAAAACAAATACAAATAAAATATCTTAAAATTTTTTTGAGCAAAGAACCAAGAAGGAAATACATTTTCAATTTTGGACTAGGGGCGACCCTAATAAAATCAATTTTGTCACTTTTTTCTTCGAGGATAAATCCAAATACAGTAAAACTTTGTATGAGCATTCTAATCTTCAGGTCACATATTTCTGAATTAATAAAAATCATTTTTTGGACAAAATGTTAAATCACGTTGTTTTTGAATGTACAACCAAATTTATAAAATTTGGGTCTGACGACATATAGAATACATTTCTGGCTTTAGATATATAAAACTGTTTTGTATAAATATTAGTATACTCACACAAAGTTTCACTGTAATTGGATAAACCTTCGAAGAAAAAAAGTGAAAAACTAGATTTTGACTAGACCTGTCCCAAGTTCATAATTGAAAATGTATTTCCTACTTGGTTCTTTGCTCAAAAAAATTTTTTTCATCCAAAGTTTAATTTAAAATAAAAAAAAAATCACAGTGAACTTTTAATTTGAAAAATTCGTAAGAAAGGAAAGTTTTTTGCTTTTTCTGAAGCAACGGCTGTTCCTACCTTGCCCAAAAACAATACAGCTCTTCTATAGAGCAGCACGGATCAAATGTAAAAAACTAGAAGTCTCTACAATGTCTCGTTACTGAGATTTCTTGCTGATTAACTTGCTTGCTTGCTTGTTTGCTTACAGAAAGCGTATTTTGCGATTTTATCAGCAATGCCACAACCAATTTGAAATCTGTTTTTTGAAAATGATGTATAATTTCAGGCACAAACATTTCTTCTGTGGCCTTTTATAACCAATTTTGCTTAGTTTTCTCACAAAATGCGAAAAACTGATTTTTCAATCTGAACAAAACCAATAGATTCACACGTGAAAACGGTGTGAATATAAAAATGTCATGAATTGCTATCAAAAAAGTGTGCAAATTTCAAAAGTTTTTTGTGCAAATTTCAAAAGTTTTTTGTGCAAATTTTAAAAATTTCTATGCAAATTTCAAAAGTTGAAAATAAAATGCGAATATCACTGCTGATAAGCATTGTAGCTTTAAAAAAGAGGTTGGAAATGAAAATTTCCACTATTTTCAATAGTTTAAAACCTTAACCAAGCCTTAACAAAGATCGGTTAAAAAGTTTCACGCAAATGAAATTTTCATGAACAAAATTGTGCAAATTTCAAAAGTATTTACTAGAGTAGAAAAAAATTAATTAACGTATTTTATGATTTTTTTTATTATTTTTTCAAACCAATAATTATTATCGACATAACATCGAAATTATCCTCATCTTTTGTGTGTGTTTGTGTAAATATAATTATTCATTTTCTCATTCTTGACTCCATTACAAATTAACCATTTATAATTTATTTAATAAATCTTTCATAAATGTGTTGTGAAATTTCAAAAATGTGATCGTCTCAATTTTTTTTTTGTTTATTTCCTCATCTCTTTATTTTCTTTAAAATAACATTTTTAATGTTTTACAAATAAAGCTAATTTCTTTTCCTTCATAATAAAAATATCTATCTTCCATTTATCATATAAACTTTTAATTTTCAATTCATCAAATAATCGAATTAGTTGATAAAACAACTTTTGAGTTGAAGAAAACAAATGGATAATGATTTTTTATTAATTAAATTAACTTTTTATCATTGTAACAGGAAGTTTATTTCATTTCATTGGTGGTACAATATCGTTTATAAGGGATTAATCATTGTATGTAAAGAAAAAAAAAATTAATTCACTAAACAGGAATGTCTTTTCATTTGCTTCTTTTCTTTATCATCATTAACTTTAATTATTTTGTTGTAAGATTTTTAAGAGAAAGATATTAAATAATTTGGTTTCTTTTTCATATTGTTTTTCTTTATTAAAATGTTCGAGATTCAAGAAAAACTTTATTTTAAAAAAATCATCATGGTTTAAATGCATTTTCATCTATTTTAATTAAGCTTTGTTTATTTTTTTGCAAAACATTTAACAAATATTCACAAATTTCAATTCTTTGAACCAGTTCAAAAATATTTCTAATTATTCATTAATTGTTTTGCAAACTATTTCATTGTGTTTTGTGTCAAGTCCTGCTTTAAGTATGCATCCTAATTCTCGATATATGTGTTTATCATCTAATTCAAATGGATTTCTCTTTCTTTCTATCTCTTCAAATTCATCAAAAATAAACAATTAAATTACATTTAACATCATTTTCTTCCAGAGACATAAATAGAGCCATTAATTAAACATTTTTGTTTTCTTTCTTTTAAATTTAACATACGATTTATGAAATTAAAATTCTAAATGTCATAAGCTGTTTTATCAAGAATTCATCGAGGAAATAAGTTCAGAATGGATACTTTTCATGAATTTCATTTGATCAATTTAATTCTTTCTGAATCCAGTTTAATAATTTGATCAATGGAAAGACAGTAAGAGCATCCAATTGTAAGAAAAACTTAAAGAAAGAAACAAGAAAATGATTCTTTTTGTGGATTAAATTCTATGCACCAAAAGATCAACTTTTTTTAAATATATCATACTCAACAAACTTATCGTCTAAAGAAACTTTTTAAGTAACACAAAAGATTTTAAATCCTTACAACTTACACATTTTTTTCTTTTTCTTCTTTTTCAAAGGAAATTAAAAATGAAAAACTCAAAAAGAACTAAAGAAAGAGAAACAAGAAGGAAAAATAAAGATAACTTAAACATTATAGTGACCAGCACGTGAATCATGATTTCGTCTTACAGTTAACAGCAACATTATCATTTTAATGCAGGTAAACAATTAATTAGGTAATAAGGTGTGTGTATGTGATAATTTTTATCCGTTTTACTTTGTTTTTTTAAATGTTTTTAAGAAAAAAGAAATACCGAATATTTTGGAAACATGTAGAGAAGAGACGTAAAGTTTAATTAAAGTAAAATTTGACTCTAATCTACTGTCGAAAAACAATAATTTAAGCTCTTTAATAATTTGCTGTGCATTTGACATCAAAAAAAGTTCTTTTGAACTTTCTGTTTCATTTTATAAAGTATATAAAATAAAAAAGAAGGTTAAGCTAAAGAACGTTTATGTTTATGGTTAAATGTTTAGCTAGAATCGGTTCGGGGATGTATTTTAGATTTAAAAGAACTATGGAAAACACCCTTCAGTTGTTTATTTAGGTTCATTTACACTAGTTGTCCAAAACGAAGTAAATTTGAAACTTAATTGAAATATAAATTTTGGTTCATTCAAAGATATGAAACCAATCAGTATATAACTTCAATCGTCAAACATACACAGTAAACAATTTTCGAAAAAAAAAATGCGATATGCAGTAAATTAAAGAAGAATTTTACTTTAAAATTTCGTCATTTAATAACTAGACGAAATTGGTAGGTAGGATGTCATTTCCTTCATAACAAATATCTTATCAATAGATAATTCTCAAAATTTACTTTCTTTTTCTCACTTGTTCAAAAGTGTCGTGGAAATGGAACAGTAATATACGTAAACGTAATATTTTTCTAGTTATTTTTCCTTCTTACGATCAACTTTAGCTGATAATATTATTAATTTTATTTTTTTTTTGTTTTATAATAAAATATGCGTTCCTTGAACGCAACTTTTTCAAAATTTCACATGCTTTCACAAACATAGAAAAATGATTCTCATTGAATTTATATAATTTATAAAAGAGATTTATCATTGATCATAATAAATATGCATCATCATCGTAATATTAATATTCCGTTGTACCTACAAATTGTTTTATTTTCTTTAGTTTTTAAAAATACTTTGCAGCCAAATGATCAATAAAGTTGAAAATTTTATTAAAATGGACATTTTTCTTCTTCAAGTTTGAATTTTTAAAATTTTGAAATATTTCTTTTACATCAAAATAAACTTTTATAATGCAAATCCGATAGAAATTAGGCTTTTAATGAAAATTTATCGACTGATTTGCAACATTGCCGATCATTTAGCAACAAAGATAAACAATTGAGGATTTCTCGAATTTTATAACTTAAGGACACTAAAGTACGATAAATATTAAAAGAGTTGTTCAATTAAAATATCTTTTCTTATTATATATGTCTATTAAAATGAGAGAAAGTGTTCTCCAATCATAAACCTCAAGAAATCCTTCCTTATTCCATTATTTACTTTATTTTTAAATCATTTTTTCATTTCTTGTATTTTTCTGTATCTGTTTTGTTGTGTATGAATAAATTTTATTTTACTTTTCTGAACAATGAACACCAATAAAACATTCTTCTTTCCTTATTTAATCTTTGTAACATCGTTTTATATTTGCAAAAAATATTCTTTCTAAAATTTTTTTTATATCATTTCTCTTGTGTATTTAATTTAATTATCATCTTTTGTCTTCAAAAATTTGAAAATATGTCAATGACTTTTAATCATTTTTTATTCTTTTTCTATAAAAATTTGTATTTAGGTCCTTTAATCGTATTTTCATCATCATCATTTATAATTCTTTTTTTTTCGTTGATTTAATTAAACAGTAGGTGTAAGGCTCAACATTGAATAAAAAACTTTTACTATTTTTTTGTTTTCTTCATTAAATATGGCATCATGATCGTTATTTAATATTTTTTATATAATATGGACACAATTTTATCTTTTTTTTTCCATCTAAATTAGATATATTTCTATTTCATTTACTTTTTTGTTGTATATTATATTTTGAAACTTTTCAAAAAGAGAATCATTTTTGCTGAGAAAGTTTTCAAATAGCAAATTTGCATTGAGCAAAATTCTTTTAAATAACTTTACTATTCAATTTTTTTTCTATCCATAAATTTTAATTATTTATTATTTTTTTCATTGTTAGCAGTTAAAAAGTTTTTCTTTTAAAAAAATAAATTAAAACTGTGTGTTTTCTGTATGTCAAAAAAGATGAATTTAATTATCATCAATAAAGTTCTGATAAGCACTGAATTTCCTTAGAAGGCACGTAATATTTGAGTAATGATTGTACTAAGCATTATTATTAATTACTGTCAAAAATATGATATTATAAGGTCAAAAATTCTAGAATTATAGGCATTTAAATTCTGTAATTTTGGATCAAATATCCAACTTGGTTATGATTTGATATATGAACTAATTTATATTCTTTAAGACGCTTTGATAAGAATCTTAAAATCTATCCGAACTACTCTAAAACTTCCACTACAAATGAGAAATGGATCTTTCACAATTGAGATCCATTGAAAAATAAGTGATTGACTGCAAATGATTCTAATATTTTGGCGCCAAAATGTTTAAAAACCTTTTTGTGATCAAAATTGAATTTTAAAAATCTGCATTAAAAGATTACCCAAACATTACACATCCAACTAAGAATTCAAGAACTTTACAGAACAAAAATTCATCCATAGCATTCTTTTGCTCATAATTTCTAACTATCATGTCCTCTTTTTATATCAAAAAATCGCACAAATTTTCTTTGTCCTTTTTCTAATAATAATAATTTATATCATTTTCATTATCGTCAAAAAAATTTTATCCCTGATTTAAAGTTCTATATATGTTATGATTTTTTTCATCATCATCATCATCCGTCTTTCCATTCTTCACAAGTACTGTTGAATCATTAAATAAGAAGTCTATCTTTAGACTTTATCAATTTTATTTCTTCTAAAAATCGTTCTCAAATTTTTTTGTGTGTGTGTTTTTTCCTCTAATTAAATTTTCATTAAGCTAAAAAATTCAAGCTCTCGTTCACGACATGTTTATTTACCAAACAAATGATTGATTAGAAATTTATTTCTATTTTTGTAGCATTTTTTTACTTATCATCTTGATCTTGATCCATTGGTTCCGATGAATCTTCACGAGATATATCTGAAAGTCTGAGGAATGAGATAATAAAGGCCACATTAATGTCAGAATAATAGATGAGGATTAAAATAACTTACCTAGTAATTGATTGCATTGATAAACCTGCCATAGCAGTTAGAGTTTCTGATTCTTCATGTTCACTATTGAGTGCTCGAAGAGCTGAGAATCCTACAGTATGAGCGAGCTGTTTTACACATGGCCAATGTGTCATTTGAATTGCAATAGTCTTTTGAAGTGTTTCGACAGCATTCGAACATGGTGGACGTGATAATTCACTCTCTGACAATGGTGCAGGTTCGTCGCCAAGTAATCCACGTACACATTCTTGAACAGAATCACAGATTGCTGGAAGGTCATATCCACCTTCAAGTGCCATAACAACCTGTTAAATAATTTGTGGGATTTTAGGATACCTCAATAAATTTAATTTCATTCAATTACCTTTCCTCCAGCCAGTTGCATCAATTCTCTTGTTAGATGACCAAAGCAAGCAGGAGATACAACATATCCACCGAGAGGTGCCGGATGTCCAGCAGCAGCATCAAATCCAGCCGAAATTAACACAATATCAGGTGAAAATTCTCTTGCAACAGGCATCACGATAGTTCTAAAAGCAGCTAAATATTCAGCATCACCAAGTGCAGGATTAATTCCTCCGGACCAAGCAATATTAATATTGAAACCTAAACCACTTCCTGAACCACATTCCGTAGAAGCACCAGTGCCAGGAAAAAAGTTTCCATCGTCATGACGATGTATAGACAAGTATAAAACATTCGGATCTTCATAGAAAATTTGCTGTGTTCCATTTCCATGGTGCACGTCAAAATCAATAATAAGAACTCGTCTAATTTCAGGCATCTTTAAACGTAATAATCTAGCAGCAATGGCAATTGAATTGAAGAAGCAGAAGCCCATCGCTAAACCTGGCTCTGAATGATGTCCAGGAGGTCGAACAACAGCAAAGCCATTTTTATTGTCGCCTTTAGCAACTTTAAATGCTAAGTCTATAACACATCCAGCAGCCATACGAGCTGCACTAGCCGTATGATTCTCGTTCCATGTTGTGTCTAAATCAATACCGACACCACCACATGCCAAACGTACAAAACTCGCACGTGATGCCTCAATCTTTTGTCGATTAATTTGATTTGATCCAAAAAGAAGTGCATGAGCTTCCGTATGAACGACTTGAAGCTCTTCTTGTGTCGCTTTTCTTGATCTTAAACGATCACAACGATTTGCTAGATGAGTTTCAACAAGACGCGCCCAAATGCTTTGTAGACGACCACTATGCTCAGGATGTGATGAATTATCACCACATATGCATGCATGTTTTAACATTACACTATCAAATGCTAAGCCAGTCTTAATCTTTCCATTCGGCGATCCGTTCTCGTAAATTCGATGATGATTCATTGAGAGATTCACAGGCGGTGGAAGCGTTTCATTGTTACTGAGTATCATATGACCAGTACTTGTGGTATCGGAATGAAGAGAACTAGCTGAGCCACTCGTAACAATTCCTGACGTGATGCCAGGATGGCCAACATGTACTAAAGGACTCGATAATGTTCTTGCTAATGGACGGAGTAGAGGTGTTCGTGTGTATGGATCTTCAATTGAAGCACCCATTGTTTGTCGTAAAAGAATTTCGCGTTGTTTCTGAAGATATTCACTTCGTACTCGATCATCACCTGTATGTGGAAGTGATTGTGATGTACTCGTTATCACAGAATTTGTAATGACTGTTCTTGGAGGTTGTTTCTTATCAGTTAAATCGATTACTTCACCGGACTCTTCCTCTTTTAATAATTCTCTTGTATTTGATCGTGACAGTGCTGTTTGACGTATTTTTTGTTTCAGCATTTGTTGTTCATATGCTTGCCGTTCTGCCTCAGAATTTTCATGTAGTGTAGCGATATTAATTGGCGCACCAGTCAACATTGGATGCCCCAAAGGTAATGGTGCTGATTGTGTTCTTCCTAAAGGTCGATGACCAGGTTTTTGTAATCTCTGTTGTTGTTGCTGTTGCTGTTGTTGAGCAGCATGTGCTTCAGAGAGTTGTTGATTATAAGCAGCCGCTACAACTGAGTGAGCAACTGCCTGCATATGATTTAAGTGTGCTGTTGCAGCTTGTGCTTCTGAAAGCTCAAATTGAGGTACTAAGTATGGCGCTGGAATTGTCGACTGGTGACCGAGAATATTCTGTGATGGTGGACGTAACTGTGACATTAATGCCTACAATTCAAACAATCATAAAATATGGATAAGACGAAGGATAAATAAATAAATTAGTAAATATAGACTTTTTCCAGAGTTTATTAAATATTTAAAGCTTACAAAGTGATTTGCAGCAGCAGCGGCAGCAACATTCGATAAATGTGGACGACCTAAAGATATATTGGGCATCGATGGCGAGCTAAACAATTGAAGGTCACGATTTGCACCATTATATTGAGGATCTTCATTCTCTTCTTGTATTGGAGCACTCGTGGGTGATCCACGTGTAGGTGGTGAGTTTGGTGAATCTGGTCCACCACTATTACAATCTATTGACACGTGTGTAAGCAGAGGAATGATGGAATAAATGAAATAGAAAAGAAAAACGAATTGAATAATTAAGTAAGTGAATATATACACGAGTAAGAATTTGTATCATGGATATTTTTAATAAGGCAATGAATAATAGACAACAGACTTAATTGTTTTGAAAAGGTTACAGTAACATTTCTCAAGAAACAATTAATGTCCGTTAAGTTTACTTTTAACTTTTTTTTTTGCGAATGTTATGTTAGTTCGATTAGTTTCATCTTAAAATGTTTTTTTTTTTTTTTCTAAACGAGAAAATTAAAATTGCTTTAGATGTCAAAAAAATGGGTATTAGCTGTTACTAGATTTCTCTTAACAAACAATCCACTAACATATCAAAAACATAATTCATCTACTTAAAACTTATGATTAATAGTATGTTAATGTAAACGATTTATGTATAGGAATATATCGAACACTCTCATTCTCTTTCTTCATGTCTTTATGCCTCCTAACATGACTCTTATCATTTTTTTTTTCATTTCATAATGCCATTGGAAAAATAAAATTTTTTTCATTTTTTTTGCGAGCAAAGTTTTCACGCACATACCAACACATAAAGCTATGAAAATATTGCTCTCATTATATTTTTTTTTCTTTTGAATAATAGTTCTACATACTTGTAGCTTGTGCCAGTGCCACCTGTTTTTGTAATCGTCTTTGGTGAGCAAGCAAAAGGCGCTCTTGACGACGTGCTGCTAATGGTCCTACACGTGCCTTTCGCTCAATCACACTTTGCTTTAATCGTATCTTCAGAAGATTCGGTTCCGATGCTGAAATTGATTTCGATGATTGATTACAAGCGAATAAATGAGAATTTGATAATGCCAATACATATTATTTTATAGCTTTTTTATGTGAAAACAAAATTTAATACAATTTTTATTCTTTTTTTTTTCATTTTTGTTTTGTGTGTGGAGTAATTTTTAGCGCCGAATATTAAATTATAAGAAGACCCGTGTAAACTTCTTCACAGACGAAGGACAATTCTTATTGAATTCTGAAATTCTAAGTTTTTAAAGATTTTATCTAGTTATAGGCTAGGAGGAACTTATATAAAATTACTGATCTTAAATGGGGTTAGATTAAACATTCTTTAGAGTGTCAAATAGTTTTCATAAAGAACTTCCATATACCTTATTGTAAAACTTGAGGGAAATTGCTAAAAGGAACTCTTGAAAATTTTTGTATTGCTCTCCAAAGGACATTAAGTGAATAAAATCTTAATGAAGTTAAAATATCAAAACGTATTTATTTGAAGAATTGCTTTATTGATAGCATATATCATAGCAGAAGCCCTAGTCCATAGTTGATCGTTTTGAACAAATTGAAAATCAAGTTTTACTTATATCAAACGGATACACAAATTGACTGCCATATGGTTAATAAATACAAAATTTGTAGCTCACGAGGATATAACGTAAAATCAAATAACGGAAACTCAAGATATAGAAGGAGGAGTGAAATATGTTAATTAAGTTACTTTATCACAAAAAAATGTGAGTAAAAAAAAACAAAATTGTTGAAGGCATGCTACAGTTTTATGAAAAATATATATATAAACTCTCTTAATTATGTTAATATCATTAAATTGCACGCGCACACACACACACAATAATACTAAAGAAAAAAAAACTGATAATAAAAGCCTGAACAATAAAAATGATTGTTCATCAGATGATGATGATTGCCTAATTAATTTGTTACCTGTTTTCCTCAGTGGAAAGTCTGAATCATATTTAGCTATTGAGGACGGTGGTTGAGGAATTTTGTATGGATGAGAACTAACTGATGATGCTGCACCAAGTGGTAAAGATTCTCCTGATGAGCTTTTCAATATACCTCTGTGAAATGTAATTATGGAGCGGCTCAGTAAATTAAAATTAATTTGATGTTATTAAAATAAACTTACAAATTTCTATTCCATGTTGCGTTCTGCTGTCCTTTTTCTTTCTCAATTTTCTTTTGTATCAAAAAAGTCTGAATGCGTAGTAAATAAAGCGAAAAGAAAATAAATTTTAAAGGTTAATGTAAAGGTCGCATTACACTTGTGTGTATGTAATAAAGAGAAAATAAAGTTTAAAGGTCATACTTTTAATGTTTGTTTGACATCAGGACTAGCATTAGCGTTACATTCATGTCTCTCATTGTTCCTTCTTAATGCTGCGGCAGCTGCTTGTGCTGCCTCTCGCTCTTTTCTTTGTTGTTCCTCTAGCATCAATGCGTTCTGACGCTCTGCTGCTATTCGTTGCAATTGTAGTTCCTGGAACATTAACATGCCATGTGCCGCAAACTATGAATTGAATTTTTACATAACGATAGGAAGTAATGTATCGATGACAGAAACGAAAGAAAACGCAAATCAAATTTTCACAACAAAAAAGTTTTTTCTTCTTTCTCTTCTTATGTTTATTCCATCTCAAAGCGCATTTTCCCTCAATTTTTATTCAGCATGAGTCACTACACACTTTATTCATCTGGCTATGTAAATTCGTGCTCATATGTTTTACCATAATTGACATCGTCAATAAATACCACAAATAAAACTCTGAATTTATTGCTAACCACAACCTGTCAGACAACTAAAATGAATCAACAGCTCCTAAGTGAGAGCTTGATCTAAATAATTTGTAAGTTCATGGAACAAAAAGATCCATATAATGGTAGAAAGATGTTTAGTACAACATTATCCAAGCAATCGATATTAATCTTCGGGGTTCTTGAAATACTCAGAAATGGAAATTATAAAAGTGTGTTGTAAAGATATAGCAATGGACTGTTCGTAGTTTTCTACACAAATTTCTAAATTGTTGATTTTTGATGTACATATATCATCCAAGTTTTGAAAGAAAATATAATAGAACCAATAAACTTAATGAATTCTATCTTAAATAGCTGTTAATTATAAAATCAAAGTTTTTTTTAAACTTTAATATTAGAGAATGCAGCAAACTGTGAAGTTTATAATGCCATATTGGTAATTTATAACACGTGTATAAGCTCTTTTCATTTCCCCGGAGCAATCTCAAAAGATCAAATGTTAAAAAATTTCTTCGAATTATGAACAAAACAAGAAAATTTGGAAAATACCAGAGATCGAAGCCGATTTTTTCGGCTTAACTCAATTTTTAATTTTTTTGATAGAAAAAAGCCATTTGACACCCATTTCAAGTATTTAAATTGAACTTTACATGCTTTACTATGATTCTGTGTAATATTTTGTCAGCATGTAGCTATAGTGAGCTCAGAATTTCAATTTAGCCGATTTTAAGCCGATCGGCTTAAATTTCGGCTTAACATTCTCAAAATTGAAATTCTGAGCTCACTATAGCTACATGCTGACAAAATATTACACAGAATCATAGTAAAGCATGTAAAGTTCAATTTAAATACTTGAAATGGGTGTCAAATGGCTTTTTTCTATCAAAAAAATCAAAAATTGAGTTAAGCCGAAAAAATCGGCTTCGATCTCTGGAAAATACTTGAAATCCAATTCCAACTATCAATATTGAAGAAAAGATTTTAAAAAGACCATTCAAAGATTCCAAGAAATTAGAATCGCAGAATCAGACGTAGCTTTATTTATGCAGTTCACTAAAGTATGTCTTAACCATAGCTGGATTAAACTTGATTCGAATAATTTCTGCCAAGTTCAATTCGATTTCTGATTCTTAAGGAATCATTAAATTCGAGATCATCAATACTGAAACACTTTAAGGAAAAATGCACTCATTTAACACCTACGATTAATGTTTACATCTTTTTACGATATGAACATAACAACATTTTTGTTATTCATTATTCATTATTTTCGATTAATAACAAAAACAGAAAATATGCGATTTATGATAATAAAAAGAATAAAAAAATAGGTAAATAAAATTTGGAAAAGGATAATTATCTCATACAGTAGAATTGGTAGAAAATTTAGATAATGAATAATAGATGAGGAGATGAGAGAAGAAACTAAAGAACAGGCATGACAGATACAATGAAGCAGAAACATTTAAACATTCACTTACTTGTAACTTGCTTTCAAGTTGCATTTTATGTTGCATTTCAAGTTCCTTTTTTTGCTCTTGAAAATCACGCCAAAGTTTTTGTTGCTGTAATTCCTGTTCACGCCGAAGCTAGAAAAAGAAAAAGAAATGAAAACATTTAGTTTATTGTAGGAAAATTTTCATGATTCACAAAATCTTCCGTAAAACAATTTCAAGCTTCTTCATTTCCTTCTTTATTTTTGCATATCAAATCAGATCGTTAAGACGATATGGCACAATTATTATCATAAACATAGTAGAGAGGCATAAACCCGTCAAATGGCGACATACAAACAAAAATTAAACCATTAACATCGCCATTAATTAGAAAATTCCAAGAAGGAATAGGAAGAATATGATTCATAAAAAATTCACAGGAAAGAAATTTTTTTGTGTTTTTCGTTCAAGATGAAAACTTCATCATTCAAATGAAAATGAAAATACATATAAACATACACGCGAGAAGAAATTTTCCCACACATTTTCTTTGACACTGCCATTGAGTTATTTTTTTTTCATTCATAAGATCCACTTGTGTATTAAAGAATATGATTTTTTAAAAATTATACGCGGGATTAAAAATTAATACAGAAAAAAGGGGGATAGTATAGGGAAGAATGAATGTTTAGGATAAATATATAATGACACAATCATAAAATAATCTATTTATAATCTCTTCTGAATTACTCATTTGAGTGTCAAATTTTTTCCCTCATCTTAACCTCGGCATTCACATGTATGCTCTTGATGTTGACGACGATGATGAAATTCACATATGATGGCGATTTTTCACTTTCATTTAGTTCATACATGAAGCATAATAAGAAAAACATGCGTTTCTTCGCTTCTTTTAATATGTAAATGTTATGATTTCCACTGACTTGACAGACTTAATTAAACACAGTTTAGTGGATCAAAGAAATTCTTTTAATGACTGTTTTCATCTTACTTTTCACGGTCTTTTCTGTCATAATAACGTTGTCATAGAATTTTGGTTTTATATAGTTTTACTAAATGACAATCTTCTATGACAGAAGACTAATCTTTCTAGGTTAATAAGCAATAAATCGATTAGATTCCGTCACATTATATAGAATCAATGTGGGAAGAATAGACAAATGCAACATTGCTATTTATAATAGCTTATAAAAGTTTCATCAAATTCTACCTTCTAGCTAACTTATACGCCCAAGAATTCGATCAAATTAAAGAACATAAAAATAGCAAAAACAAAATTTAAAGGAAAATAAATGCATGACATTTAATCTTAAAAGGTAAAAATAAATACTTTATCAATATTCGATTTCAATTATAATGACTTCGTCATTACGCCAAAAAATGATTTACGTAAATAACATGGAGTTGAAAATAACTTTGAGTGTCAGTAAATTATTAATTAATATATTTCCAAATTTAGCACCATATTGTACACATTGCCAAAAGAGCCTCTTGAAATTACTCTTTATTAATTCAAGTGTAGTGATATTTATATTTCATCGTATGAATCATTACTAGATTATAAATTAGCAGGTGTCTCGAATAAATGCCTTTGACTACCACCGATTCCTGTCCATCGCAGCTTTATTATTTTTTTCGTGACATGCATTAATAATAACTAATTTCAACCAAAATAATATACAAGCCAAACTTACAGCAAGCAATTCTTTATTGAGATCATCTTGAAGTGCATTAGGCGGTTGACTGCCAACCACACCCGATATTATCCTTTCACGTCCTATTGAACCTCGTGCCATCTCTAAAATAGAAATAAAATTGAAATATTTTTTGATTAGAAAATTGATCAAATTTTCGTCTATTTCGGTAGACTAGCAATTTTATTATATTTTTATATATAAAAAGAAATGTCGGTTCTATTTTTATGTCTCGAAATATTTTTTGCACAGAGTTGGTAAAAATAACAATGGCAATCTATTATGTTGATAAATTACTCATTACCATGTTTTCCTCGTTGTGGGGGTCATAATTAAAACAGAACAAAGAAGAATGCTTTCCATACTATGGAGAATATGAAAAATTCATTCTATATTTAGTTGACTAAATTAAATATTTTATGTCACCATAAAAAAATTGTACATTCAACATACATATACATGAGTTGTAAGTAATAAGACAATCTGTTAAAATTTTATTACAAAAAATCACTTGGGAAAGTAATTTAAGTGAGCAAACAGAATCACATATTTTTTGATGAGCATGTATGAATGCTCATAGACAGAGACAGCATAATGTAATATATATGCTTAAAATGCAAATGCATTTAAGAGTGAGAAAACCAGAGATAGATTGTCGACTATTTTTAAATGTTCTCACAATTTTATATTTTTAGACGTAAACGGCATTTTTTTTTTCTCGTTCAATTTTCCTCAACTCAATGTCGCATAATGTTTTTTCATGTCATGACAATATATTGCATTTATAAATATACACATCACACGAAATGTGCAAATGTGCAATTGCACGGTGATGAAGAGAATATAAATGTAAGTATTGTAAGAATATTATTGAGTTGAATGATTTAATGAGCGCATAAATGAAATTTTCCATTGAGTTTTGCGATGACTAACACTAGCTACATGCGTATTTATTGTGCAATGTACTTTAAAGTAATTGCACTTTAAATGTCATTCGAGCAAGCGCAAAATAACATTCAATTTGATTTGATTTGTTTCAAAATATTTAAATGCTTAAATGGCATCAAGGTAGGAAGAAGATTCCAATTACAAAACATCAAAATTAGCCAAAATCTCTAAACCTGCTGTAATATTTTGCCATTGTTTTATTATTTAACTTTTTTATTAACTTTTTTACAACCTTGTTTTTCCAGTTCAATACACACAAAAAAGCAGATATGCTTATTTGATTATTTCATGATAAAAAATTATTTATAAACATTCAAAACGCAAATTATTATGAATATATGGTTTCAAGGTTATTGCGAAATTTACCAAAAAAAAAGTCGAGAGGAGTATGAAGCAGTTTGATAAATATTTCGCACATTTTAACGTGTATGGATATGAAAGTATAAAAAAATCTATATTTAAGCAGACACATTCTTTACAGCGGCATTTAATTAAATTAATTTCAATCTATTTATAGATGAAAAGTTCAAATATATGCGTGTATATCAAATTACACTTATAATATTTGCTTGCATTTAATTCAGGCCTGATTGAGTGACATGTGGATATTATTTTTGTATTTTTATCGCATTTTCTTTGTTTGTTCTGGCATTATTGGCGCGAATATCATTATTAAAATGGAATTAAGTTCTAAAACATACCACAGCATTTTCAATAAGTTTTAAGGATAATCCACAGAGAGTAATAAGATATGATGAATAGAGTCAAGTTATGAGGCAAATAGGAAAGGAAAAGCGATATATAATTTATTTTTAAACAAGCAGAGAAAGAGAGTAGCAACACAAAATCTATTTATAAAATTGGTAGAAATTAAAGAAGAAAGTATAAAAAAAGAATTTAAGAAAAAAACGGAGAGAAAAGTTTACACTAGCTGTAGGAAATGCTTCGTTGTGATTGAGTTAAATTTATTTTCAAACTTTTTCATCTAAAAATATCGCACGACCACGCCATCTGCGAACGTTATTAATAGATAATTCGTTCTGTTCTGCTTTTTGTATTCATCCACACAGATAGGTAACATATACAACTCATCCATGTGTAATAAGGCAAAGGTTTCAAGAGAGACTAAAAGAGAGTCTAAACGCCGCTTTGAGTGTTGATTTCTTATGAAAAAAAGAGCGATATAAACATGAAGATGAAGGAAGAAAAATTAGCAAAAATGTTCCCTTTGAGACTTAATTTTTATTTCTGCTTTCCCATGAAATAGAAATTAATTTTCATATGATTTTGTGTCTCGCCTATTTCCGTAGAGAAACGCCTCTTGTTCTTATACATATATCCACATTCATGAAAACTCAAAAAAAAAATCTCCGATGCATCAAAAGAAATGATCTCATTACGCTATGAATCCTTGTCCCACATTTCTCTCTTTAGCCTACTTTGTCCAATAAATTATTGCATCTGCATTACTCAAGTTCCTTTAATACATAATGAAATTGAATGTTTACTAGAGGATATAAAGCAATAGAAATTTATCGTAAACTTGGGACTATTTTAATTGCTGCTCAGATTAAAAACATCAAGAATAGGATTGCAGATTTTAAAATTTTGTGGTGCCGAAGCTCTTTAACAGCTTAATAGGTTTTGACATTATGGAGTCTACGTGTGTGTCTAGAAAATTTTAATCTAAAAATTTGCACATGAATACACAGAAGATTAGATATTTACTCACAATTTTAACACTAGATATTTACTCATAAATTATATCCTTTACTTTTAAAAATAATTTTCAGTCTTAATAATATCAACAAATAGTCTCACAAAAACGAGTTCAGGCGATGAAAATATTAACTTTTTTTTTGTTTACAAAATTACTCTGTGACTCAGCAATAAAATTAATTTAATTTAATTACGTTGCGGGGCTATTTTTGTGAATCAATCGGAATGAATGAATGGATGAAAAAGAATTCTTATTTTTATTCATAACGGATGATGAAGATTTGAATTTTTTTTTTTTTCGTGCACCTTAAAAATAGAACATTGTGAGGTCTTTTCGATAAATTCCTTTAAAACTTTAAATAAACTGTAAAATGTCAACAGAAATAGATAAGTCTATTTTTACCAGAATTGACTGCATTAAATCACTCACTCAAACAAGTCTCAAGTGTGGAATTTTTCAATCGTTAATTGAGGAAAAGGTGTTAAATAACTTTGTGTATCATTACAGCATTCATCAACCTATAACTACACATTTTTATACACTTTATCAGAATGGTGTTGTTTTGAACACATTTTCTATTTATAGCTTGAAAAGAATATATATTTATTCTTGAAATGGCAGTAGCAGCGAAAAACTTGTATCCTATTTCTTTTCATTCCTTTTTTCTCATTCCTCCTCTTCTTTATTTTTTGCTATTACAGAATAGCTCAATCTCTGTGCGATTCGTGTTCTATTTTCAGCACAACAGCAACGTATATTTAATGTCAAAGCTTTTACCACCACCATACCACAGCACAGCTCCTCTTTCTCTCCACTCGTCAACGTTTTCGTCTCAACAACATTTGCGAATATCCTCGGGCGGTGCCGATAAATACATATTACTTATTCAGGTCTCTTATGCTTGTGCTTCTTGCCTTTATTCATACTACAATGTTAAATTTCTATTTTTAAAAATTCCTTAAATATTGAGCTTCCATAAAAGCAATTTAAGGTAAGTACATTGCTTGTGAAAAATAAATAAAAAATGAAAATCATTTCAAGCATTAGCTAGAAATAGAAATATATCCTTGAAAAATTCTTTTACATTTCTTTTCAAGCACAAATCATTAAAAGTAATAAATTAAAGGTTTTCTTTTCTATTTCATGAAACTTGTAGAAGGAAAAGCTTTTCTCGAGGAAAAGAAAAACATGAAAATGGACTGTATACATTCAATATAAACAAGAAAATACTTGGCTGCAACAAACATAAAATCGATTCAATCACGCGTTCGTTTGTTTTCATCTGAACTCGAACGGTATGAAGAAAAGCTTTTTTATTTCTCTCCATCTTACTCTCGCTTTCTCTCATTCCACATACATATCCTTCCACTCTCTCTTTCTCTAATTTCTATTTTTAACAATCAATCGATAAAAAAATGTCCAATGGCAAAGTACACAAGTATAAGACATAATAACAATAATGACCATAATATATTCATTTCAAGCAGAAACGAAAAATTTATTTTCCTTATGTTCTCATAAAATCAATGTCTTGATAAATAATCTAAAAGTTCAAGGATGAAGATTAAAATTTGAGTAATTAAGGCGAAGGTCGTACTGATTTTTTTAACTTGTTTGATTTTATTAGGATTATTTTTTTGTGGCTTTTTACTGGTTGGAACTCGGATTTTTATGTAAATTTTCTTAGCTTCATATTCAGAATAGTCAAGAATATATTATTTTTTAATATGAACCATTTAACTTAAAATTATTAACATTTTAAAGTGTATTTTTAAAATACTTAAACTCTAGTCAACTTCTGTTGATGTCACATGTAAGAATAATGGCAGAGGAGTCTTATCTGTTTTTTAATTCAGTGCACAGTCCCAAGACAAATGCAAAAGATAAGGTTAAGTGTATTCAATTTAATCTGTTTAAATAAAAATTCTCAAAAACAAAGAAAAATTGAACGAAGAGAAAATGACTTCATAAAATGGCAATCTTTGGACCCAATATTTGCGTGTAGTTTGTTTTCATACGCACATTACAGAATATTTATGATTCACAGGTTTTTCCTCGTGATTAGATAATTTTGACCGAGTTCCTAGGCAGCTTTCATTTGATTAAAAATAGGATTTGTTATCTCTAATTGGATTCTGTTTACTATATAGTAGATTTTTAGATAAGGTTTAATTCAAGAGCTTTCATGGTAATCTTTAACACGAGTAGACTTCAATTATTTCAGTGAGATATTACTTTTAATCGACCATGAAAAAATTTAATCGTAAATTCGTATCAATGAAAATTATTAAGGAGCTTTACTATATTTAATTTAATAAAAAAACGTTATCTTTAAATGACAGGTTTTTCGATAAATAAAGAGATCTTCCTTATCAAAAAAAAAATTATTAAAATACCTAATTTAAATGTCTGGTCGATAGTAAACATTTTTAAGTT